CCCCTTATAAACCCACCACCCCCCAAAAAAAGTTATTGCGGATTCGGGCTGCCCTCCTCAAGCCGCACATGACCATGTCATCGGAAAAAAATAAATAAAAAAATTAGGCAGTCTGCCGACCGCCGACGGGTCCGCCTACGAGTCAGCCGGACTGGTAGGCGCGCCTACCGCCTACGGTAGGGGTAGGCGGTAGGCGCCAAAACAACCCTGAGTAACACCACAATCAACCAAGACACGGAGGTAGCAGTGGTTAATGAGAAGTTTGAAGAAGATAAACTCCTCTGCCCCTTGAGCACGCCGTTGTTTCATCTCGGCCGAATGGTCTAGGTTATAGTGGAAGTTAACCATCTCAGACTCCTTCCAAGGCTCAACATAGAGAACATTACATGCGTCAGCCTTGGAATCAGCAGATGATGGGGCTTCAAGAGAGGACTGTCGAACTGTATCCGGTTCCTTAGAGGAACTGTCAATCTCCCTTGTTGTAGAGTGTGCTGACGACAACCCTACGCCCGGTTCGGGTTTCCCTGCAGCCTATAACAATCTTGAACTTTATGATTCGGTTTCAAGCAATGCAGGCAAATTCCCTTCCTGATTCTAGCCTTCCATTCCCTTTCGCTGATCCGAAGATCCAACCACGGTTTGGTTGCAGTATCCTCCGACTTGGCTAGGATCTTGACTCCGTTGGCGAGTGGGACATAGTTCTTCCTTGAGTTTCGGTTTGGTCTCTTCACAATGGCAGACTTTCTTAAGGCATTAGGTTTCTCTTCGTCATGATTAATGTCAGGCTCATGGGCTGAAGAGGAACAAGCTGTATCAGGGTCCTGCTCTTGGATGTCACCAAGAGTGGGGTTATTTGCATAGGCCTCCTCATCAGCCTCCAGCAGGTCATGCACAACAAAACAGTTGCTGCCTCTAAGCCGTTTGCCGCCTGTAGGCTTTTTGCTGCCTGCTGTGGAAATGAGATCTTATACCTCAAGGCTAACTACATCCTGCATGAGGAAAAGCCAGTTTGTGTATCCAATGAGATCTATGCCTAAGCGATGTGTGTAAGTAGTGGGAACCGTACCTTTCACAACATCCAAGCATGATTGTCCAGTCATTTCCAACCCAGAAGTAGCAAATAGTTTGGTAACATACAATTGCAGGTTGTCCATGGTGCCCAACCACTCGTTGTGCTTGAGATTAAGCCTTTTTCGGATTCTTGCAGGAGCATGTGGTCACTGGTGTGGCCTTGAGCCACTGCCTTAGTATACTCGGCTTGCATAGCTTGGACTTCTAAGAAGACCCGTACGGTGGGCTCAACAATTGTCCCCATGATCAAGGACCGGCTCATTAATTGAGTTCCCAACACCTCGAAGTAGCCTCTCATGGAGTTGATCCACGTCTTCCTTGCCGTCGTACTTAGACGATATCTATACCGCCTTTTTGTCCACATTGGGACTGCTATAGCCGGTACCAGCATACGCTGTGTCTAAACTCGAGGCTGCAGTAGTAGCAGAAATCCCTGCATTGTCACCTACCACACTCAGAAAAAAAGAAGTAGAGGCATGGAGAGGATCAAAGACAAATCAGTTAGCAGCATTTGAGGCAAGAGGTAGAGGAAGAAAATTAGGAATCTAGGCCTGATGCAGAGTTGCCATCTGCCGCATCTGATCACTAGGCTCCTTGGTCGTATCCGCAATCTGTGACTGCAGTTTACTCACCTGATCAAACAGTTTACAGATTTGAGCAGGAAATTCGTTGAGCAGGTGACAACCGATGAGAACACGTACATACTTGACCAGGTCTTTCTTGACCTTAGTGTCGGCCAAGGAGGGGACTGTTTTTTTGACAATCTCATGGTCCGCAACAACGGTTTTCCGCTTTTGCTCCTCTGCCTTCTCTTCCTTGGCGACTGCCTTGTCATAGAGGACTTGGAACAATGGTTTGTCCTCATTATTGGCCACTTCCAATTGGGCCTTTAAGGCCATAGAGGCCTTTACCACTGCCATGTTAGAACTACCAGGGCTGTCGGCAGGCATTACGGAAAAAGACTCAGCAAATCCCTCAAGATGGGTGCTCTCCCTCTCCACTTTTGCTCTCTCTTCTCTTTGTCTGCGAGTCTACACGGACATCGAAATATGAACTTAGAAAAAGAAATAGACTGAAAAGTTCACAGAAAGAGAAGGTAGAACTCCTAGCCCGAGCAGCATTACATTTAGACAAGAGAGAAGCCAAAAAAAAAAAAAAAAAATTTAGATGAGAGGTCTAATCCAGCGTCTCGGCCAGATCATACTACGTATGAGATCCCCTCAAGCCCAATCTGATCAGTTTCGTGACCGTACAACAAATCCAGACAACGAGTAACGACATGCAACAATGGAGAATTGAGTGGTTTATAAGGTGCGAGCCAAGCCACGGACTGTGCAGTAAGAGTACGCAAAGCATCTCAGTCAAGATCCCCTCGGCAGCGAGTGCTCTAACCAAAGAATGAAGCTCCGAATCCCAGACAAATGATCCGACGTCAATCAGATTTGGGCCTAAGGGGCCCTTCTTGCTCGGGCCCGGTCCTACTGGGTACCCAAAAGGTCCCAAGTAGGTTGTGACCGACTCCCAACTAAGAAGTGCCCCGCATGGACCTACTTTCTGCCTCTACCGAACTGAAAAACGAAATCCAACTTTTGAGAGAACCTAAGATCTACATCCGTTTAAAAAGACAATGCACTGTAGAAAGATATGGCAGCCAAAGCAGTTTGCATACTCATACACACAATTAAGACCACAGAGGAGTAGGAAACGGAACCCATAATAACCCCATCATGACAATCAATACCACGCACACACATACATGGGCATCCTATAGGTGCACGACACTTACCTGAGTGGCCTGAGCTTCGAGATGAATAGAACTCATCCCCCTCTCATATGGTCCTCCTGACCCCTTTAACGCCAAAGTGCAACACTAGTGTTGCCGCATGCTCAGGGGAGCAATGCGCAGTATTCCAAGGATCCGCAATGTGATGAAAAGGACGGAAATGGACAATGCAAGATCAGCGTAGCATCATCAAGCAATGCACATTTCGATACATACAAGATGGCACGAAGTGGCACAACGGAAGATTTGAAGAGAAGGTCTGATCTGACCTGGACTGACCCAACATCCATCATACATCACACACGGGCGAGAGAGGAGGGACCGCAATCATGGAGGAAAGGTCCCTCCTTCGTACACACACATGGGGAGAAACCACGGATGAGAGATGGGGGAGAGACAGACGAAGGAGGAGGAGAGAGAGTAGACCAAGATCGCAATGGCGAAGTCCAAAATAGTCTCTTGCTGAATGTCCAAACAATGTCTGTCTCAGAAATGTCGAATCAGATCTTGGGCAATGCGCCCGTTACAACCCCAGCCTGAATCCCTACTGATAACCTCTCACACTCTCAGAT